AAAGTTAAATTAGATTTATATTCACGTAAAGATAACTTACTGGTATTATTACTAGAGGATCAGTAGACAGGGACGGTTGAATCGTACTGTATGGATCAACTTCCGATTGATATTGAAATGCATGTGTGGTCGATGTATCATCATCGTTCAAATATATTGGCAATGTATCGGAGTGGACGTCGCTTGACATAACACTTTCAAAAGTGTCATTTACATAACTGCTCGAGAATTGTGATATCTGAACTGGTGCAGATTCAGTGAGATGCGGAATCGATGCAAAATCAGTTGATTGTGGTTGTTGTTGTATTAGATTCGATGACAACAGTTCCATATTGGAATTCGGTTGATCAATTTTACTCCCTGCTGATCGTTTTACGTTGAATCTGTTGCAATCTTGCGCTGATCGACTTTCGCTATCGTTTTGCCGTTTCAAATATCGACTTCTTATCGAAGTTCTTGAGGATGTCCACAATGGTGAAAAATTTCCATCCACATTGGTTGTAGCCTCGGTGTCATTTTCTGTTGTTTTATGGTGCCCCATTGCGTCATCAGTTGACATAACCTGCGAAGAATTAGGCAAAATTAGCGCATTCATTAGTGGCATTGCGGCGGATGAAAGCCGAGAAGCGCTTGTGACTCCATCTGTTTGGTAAGAGAGTAGCGTTAAAGTACTGGTTGAATCCCGAATAGTTGTTGATGAATTGTGTTGCAACGGTACGTTAATTAGCGGATTCATCAGATTAACAGATTCTTCCAAACGATTATTTGAAATATCAGCATAAGAAGACTGGGCCATAGCATAGCAAGTAGAAGTTGAAGTAAGTGGATGAAATTCCTCCAGTCTACTGTTGTTTACAACATTGTTGGTGTTGACCCTCGGGGTTTCAGATGTGGACATAGAGATGGTCGTATCCAAAAACTGGGATGTATCAAAGTTCTCCCAATCAAATTCCTGCGACATATCCGATCGGTTTTTAAACACTTTTGTTGACAAGAATTATTATGCACACCGAGCAGACAACAAACAATTTTCAAAAATGTTATTTTTCCGTAAGAAGTGAATTACGCGCTGCGAATTGTGGGAGTGGTCATCACAAAGAATTTTTTTGAGACCATTGGTCAATAATGAAGCATCATGTGATGAATGGGAGGGTCCCAAATTTCGATGCCTGACAAGCTAACGAAAATTATCGATGACAATACAACAACAAGGGATCATCAACAGGGATACTTGCAAGTCCCTGCCGTATTCCACTTTCCATTATATAAAACGTTGGGTGGAATTTCTCCATTCAGCGTACCGTTTTCCGGAATAACTCTTTAAAATTCGGTTTATTAAGCAAAGGCACTTCACACTATTGTTGTTACCGTTTACTTTTGGTGTTAATCAGGAAAATCTCGGGTTTCTTTGAGGGAGAAATCTCCTGAATAGACAATACTGCAATTAAAATATTTCATAATGACGAAAAATGAACGGATTGATTATATATCAGTGATGTATTTGTGATGAAAATAAAATTAAAAAATTGTTTTAGATGAAAAATGGCATCAAATTGGAAGAGTCTTATTCTTTTTTTCAATAAATAATCTTATTTTAGATGTACCCACAAATGTGTATAACAATTTCATTCTCATCAGAAATACGTGTAATCCACCACTGGATACAGTGGATATACTGTATATATTAGCTATAGATCGTTGCCTTTCAATGTAGATGTGGTATGAACACGTACAATCTTGACCTAGCCGTAAAAGTAGACGTCTAGACTGAGTAAGTCATAGAATTAGATTGATCACTTTTATTTTGTCTAGCAATTTTTACATTGACTTTTTACATTGACAGGCAATAAATTCGAAAGGTTAATAAAGATTGATAAAAAATAAAGAAAAAAGATTGATATCAGTGATAGGGAATGAGATCAATTCGTTCTAAACGACTTCATCTTGTAATTTTATAAGATAACCAAATGATAAAACATTAAATAAATTGCGCATTTTTTAAATAAGAAAAATTGGAAGTATGCAAAACGTTTATGCGTTGGCAATGAATTCGCAAACTTTTTAAAGTAATTTCGATAAATCAAAATTATAATAAGAAGATAATGTAAGCGTTCTGATTCTATTAAATAAAATTAATAATGCTTACAGAAAGTTAGTTATTTTTCTGCCAAAGTTTTTGAAGTGTTTACCAAGCATAGGCCAATATACGGTCGTTTCATTTTACTTAATACTTATTTGATTAGTTTTGAAAATGACAGTGGCATATGCAAATTTGAGTGGCATTTACACCCATAATCAAGAATGAACATGACTTTCGACTATTAGTGGTTTAATGTCTCTAAAAGAATCTGTTTGCTATAGGAAAAGAAAAATTGCTGAAATTGACGGGGTAACAAATTTGTGGCTTTGATGACAACTGTTGAAAAATTCGTCACTAGTGAAAGTATCAAATTTGTCACTTATTTAGACATATCAGCAAGGAAGTTTAAGTGTTAGCAATAGATTTCATTAAATTTCAAATAGCATACGAGTTATTTGTTATCTTTTGGAAAAAAATGATTTCATAATTGCAGTATTGCAATGCATTTTTGAACTACAGTATCTTTTCTTGTCAAGAGTGGAACGTGTGTTAGAATAGAAGTATTGTTAAAATAATTTCAAATTAATGAATCTTCAAATAGCTTTAATAGGACTTAATTTACTTTTTATTAAGGTAACTAAAAGTAATGCAAATTATGCAAGTTAGTGAGGAAATTTTGGAGCAAGAAATGGGTCGAAAAAGAACTGCAGCACAGCAACATCCTTCAATGTATCTTATGACTCTGTAAGGTTTATAAGAGCAGCACCTGTGGTACTGGGTGGAGTCCGATGATTAGACTACACTATGTCGCCTTATGATTAGACTGCAGTGTGTCGCCATATTTTTATTTTAGGCGGGTCATGTGGATTGATTTTTACCGAAGAATTAGTTCTTCTACTTCAGGTCACAATCTATCCTTTACATGATCGACAAATCTTGAACTGAATTAGCAGGAAATAGTAATCATATGAATTGTATTCTGAGGAAGATCCTTATTTCGATTCTAATAGTTTGGATCGGTAAATTTCTCCTTATGATTTCTGTAATCTTATTTAAGCTAATATATTCAGCAAGGCAGAGATATTCATTATGAACAGTACTATCATATATTATAAATACAGTAATGTCATACACTCTAATCAGTTTAGATGCTAGTAAACTGAGCTTCTGATTCTGATTTCCTTCGACGAGATCGGTTTACTGAAAATATCTGTTGATGAACCGTTTAACAATTCCTCACAATCATTTCGTTTTTCTTCGCAATTTTATTTCTTACATTTAATAATATGAAATTTTATGAATTTTTAAAGTCAATTTAATTTAAATTTAATTCGAAATTAATTAAAATGAATCTCGCTGTAATAAAGGACGCAGAAATGATATATGAATTTGATCTTAAGTAAGTCAAAGAGTACATAATACCTTGCTAAATTTAGCATCTTTTGTTTTTCCCATATAATAATAAGCTTCCCATTGATCATTGGAATATTCGATGAGTCATCTCATTTATCTCCATTAGAAACACAATATTTCTTTTTCCCTCATCTGTCCTAATCTATTCGTTATCAGTTTGCTGCTTATCAATTGAAACAGATATTAGCGTCGCTATCCGCAGTTTTTGGCTGAAAAATACCACATACCCAAAATCATTGTCACCGTATTATCATCATTATCATCACTGCAATCATATCGCTTTGTAATTGACATTTATTTTTTACAGTTGGTGTAGCTTAATAGCTTTCATATATAATATTTGCTGGAATTGATAAACTTCAAGTTCAGTTCATAAATTGACTGATTTGACCTGCTAATATCTGTGCTCTTTAATTTCAAACTTTAATAAAGCAAAGATTATGAAAGGTAAAAAAAGAGTTGAAATGAAATAAATTTCGAAAATGCGCCAAACAACAATGAAATTAGAAAAAGGAGTTGAAATGTTAGAAAGTAATACTTTGAACTCTGTGGAATGTGTGTTTAACCTTCCTTCATTCTCAGACAAATTTCAAATGCTAAAGATTTCATTACCTACAGGAACATTGATTAAAAACAGATTTTTTGATGAGTATAATTGTATGAAGAACGGATAATTTCTCATCAAATCGTTCCAAAACAGTTATCATTCCGCTTCCGACAAACAAACTAAATATATAATCAAAAGATCCGGCATTCACCTGGATTTAAGTTAAGCTGAATTTTATCAATTGACTCGATATATTCCATTTCAAAATTTGCGTCCTTCTATAAAGATATGATTTTTTTTTAGAGAAAGAAAGATAAGAAAGATATGATAAAGATAAGATTAACTTATTTACCTTCAGAAGATCCAACCTGCTTGCTGTCATACAGTTTTGCATATCACCGACTATCAAGAACTGTCATATTCATAAAAAATTTTTGAAAGAGAAAAGCTATCACTGTATAATGCAACAATGCCAATCAGCAAAGTTAAATCATTTGTCAAAATGTCGCTGTTCCGTTTGAAATTTTGTTTATACGTGGAAAAAATTTGCTTTTGCTTGTTTGTGCATTGTTTTAACAAAAGCTTATCATTGTTGTGATTAGCTTGGTTTATTGTGAACATAGCAGCTTTGCAATGTGACAGCTATTACAATAATTAAATAGAAATTGCGTATTTCAAATATTGAAAATAAGGCTAAATAAATGATCACAACAGCTATCACAGAGCAAAAAAAAAAAAAAAAAAAAGGTCCAATTTTAGTCCCAGTCCCATTTTTTGACAAAGAGAAATGAAAGCTCAAACTGCAATTACGTACAATAAGCGCATAAAAATAACAATTGGGAATATTGAAAGAAAAGCTAATGTTACGGAATACTTCCGCTGTATCACAAATCCATAAAAGAAAAACGATTCCGAAAATTTCATAATTGCTATTCAAGGACAAATTAATATCTGTCTCCAAATATTTTCTCTATTCAATTATTTTTACTTCACTTCGCCCAATTAGAAACAACATCTACTACAAATACGATAGCGCCTACTACCATACTTCAGTACTTACAGCCGTATTGATCAGATGAATAAACTGATAAATAATAAATAAATAAAGATAAATAAAAGATAAATAAACTGACAGTAGCTTTATTCAAATTTAATGCTTCCCATCTGCAGTTTAGCGTGAATAGTTTAGAAAAGTCCAAATAATGTTAAAATAAGAAATGAAATAAATAACTATAATATATAAACTATATGATTAGCATGAAAATGGTTGACAATTAATTTGAAAAGAAATTAAAATAATGAAATAACTAGAAATATTAATAAAATAAAGCCAAATACTTCGGATCACATTTTAGGCCAATTAGACATATATTTCAAGTATTGGCTTGCATTAGCATCAACGCCGTTACGCTCATTATACATTTACAAATAATTTCGTTTACTCCATCGCAGGAAGCTGTTAGATGAACTCGAAGACAATTGCACAACTTAGCACCAATCTGTAAAAAATGCGTTAGATTATTTACAAAGGAGCGCAGTTGACCTTAACGTAACTTCCTGCTTTATAAGCCAAATTTTAAAATGAAACAAATTTTAGAAAGCTTCTTTAAATTTACATTTTGAATTTTTTCACTGTCAGTCATTCCCACGCAGTTTTGCAACGAACAAAACGCCGTCAGAATCGCCATCTCTTCCTCCTTCACTTCGAATCCTAAACCATTCACGCATTGCGCTATCGCTTCACTACCAACACCCAAAATTGCTTCGTAGTTTTCGTTTGTGAATGAAGTGCGCAAAGTCTATATAAAGTATATATTATCAAACTTGTCATCGAATTTATCGAGAAATGTTCATTTTAATTATAGGTAGATAATTTCAGTGACTAAACCAAATCCGGTTTACCGGTTCTCATTTTTACTATCACATTAGTATTAAGAAATTTTGAAAGATTTACTAAGTGTATTGATTTCTAGAGAGGAGTAGAAATTTCCAAAGTCACTAAAAACGGCTAGCAAAGAAAGAAAACGGAAAGAGCAAGGATTTACTAGCGCTGCATAAACGCCATTATCGATTACTTTCTCCAAATCCTTTGCATTAATTTCCTTCATTATCGGGATATTATTCAAGAATATATGGATCCTTTCTACAGCTTCGGCTCGGTTATTAATTATCAACCCCGGCGGGAATGTTTCGCGATATGCGCTAACAACAGTAGCCTTCAGTTTTTTCATCTCTTCGATCATTTCCATTTCTTTTTCTCTAAAAAAATCATCACTTTGATATTTTCCTTAATTAAGCTGATTTGTTCTATGTAAGTAAAGCAACAAAATATCTTCTCCTCTGACACGTAAGACTTACTTGTTTTCATCCTTTTTCCGTTTTCGATTTCGATCTAAATGTACCAATTCCTGACGCATGCCTAACTGAAGACATTTCTGAAATCGACAGCTCTGACATCTATTCCGGTTTTTCTGATCCACTATGCAATTACCTTGCTTGTAGCATACATATTCTATTTTCTTTTGAATAGTTCTTCGGAAAAAACCCTGAAAATTTCTATTCATTTGGGTTGAAATTCTTGAGATTCAATCACTACCAAAACCAACATTTATTGCCTAATCCTTCAAATATCTATCAAAACGTCAGATAGCAGTAGTTAGGCATTATAAAGATATGGTTCAATGTACTCCGGATATTGAGTTTGCACAATCACTCAACGTACGTG